AAGGTACCTGCGCTCATAGTTTCCAGACGGTAATGAGGGCAGAACTCGCCGAACCCTCCGGACCTGAGGCTAGAGACAGAGGTTTGAACCTTCACGACTTTGGATCCACAACATTTTTATTGTACAGGACGATTAACCTCGAAAAGGCTGTCGTGTTTTGGCGGATTTTTGTTTTAATGGACCAGTCTACCGTGTCAATGAAAGGTAAAATTATGTTTGTCGCAGGGGTGATGTGTTCTAAAAAAAGCCGCGATAAGTGAAAAATGTAAAGTGGCAGCTCTATGACCCCACGGCATCACATTTTATACACTCACCTGAAGTCACGACAGCTGTGAGTGAGTGTCGTAGGTGTGTGTGCTGCTGCAGCTGTCAAAAGCCGTGCATACACTGTATAATACTCTCTAATCTTTCTCTTTGATCCTTCTGTAGGATTGAGGGCTGTGAAAGGATCATAGAGAGAGACCAAAAAGAGAGACCCAAAAGAGACCAGAGAGAGGGATTAGAGAGACCAGAGAGAGACCAAAGAAAGAGACCAGGGAGAGAGACCAGAGAGAGAGATTATAAAGAGAAAGACCAGAGAGAGAGAGACCCGAAAGAGACCAGACAGAGAGATTAGAGAGAGACCAGAGAGAGAGACCAGACAGAGAGATTAGAGAGAGACAGCAGGGTGAGACTAAAGAGAGAGACAAGAGAAAGACAAGACAGAGAGAGACCAGAGAGAGAGACCAGAGAGAGAGACCATAGGGAGAGACCATAGTGAGAGAGACAAAAGAGAGACCAGAGAGAGACCGAAGTTAGAGAGACAAAAGAGCGTTACCATAGGGAGAGACTGGGGCGAGACAAACAAAAGAGAGAGACCAGAGATATAATACTGGTAACTGTCACGTTATAGTAGCGTTTACATGACGATGGAGTAAATACACGGTGCATGAGAAACACATTGTAAAACAAAACGCACAAAAAACGACAAAAACACACAAACACAAGTTAAAATGAAAAATTGTGAAGAACAAGAGTCCGTGAGTTCTGTCATTGGACATTAGAGTCCTCGGAGCCTGCAGCATGTACCAACACGGATTGGGGAATCTGAACTAATGCATGCAAATTTATAGTAAAAACGCGACGAGAGAGGTGCCAGCAACGCCACAGTCGATGGAACGCACCGAAGAGGCCTGATGGCGAGGGGAGCGGCGAGGGGAGCGGCGCGGGAAGCGGCGCTCTATACGTCCAAGAACAACAGAATGTGACACAGCTCTCACACTCGGATGAACTTAATCACAGAGAAATGCCAAAAATGCAAATAAGGCCGAAAAGTCCGATTTGATCATGATCTGTAGTTTCACAGAAATGACATGTTTTCAGAAGTTTGTGTCTGGATACTTTCATACAGGGGCGTCCAAACTTTTTAGTAAGAGGGCCACTTTAGTTCAACAAACATGACCTGGGTCTGAAAACCTGGATTTAAAAACCTGGATTGGAGCTGGATTGACTGGATTCTGGACTTTAAAATGGCTTCTTATTTAGAATGTTGTGACACAATCATAAAACAGTTTGGACTTGCCTGCTTGGTGTTTGGTGGATCACCTTTTGAGGCAATGTACTGTGTCTACTTGAAGCTTGGAACTGAAATATACCTCTTTAGGTCCAGTAGATCCAGGTCTGAGGCTGTAGATCCAGGACTGAGGCTGTAGATCCAGGACTGAGGCTGTAGATCCAGGACTGAGGCTGTGGATCCAGGACTGAGGCTGTAGATCCAGGACTGAGGCTGTAGATCCAGGACTGAGGCTGTAGATCCAGGACTGAGGCTGTGGATCCAGGACTGAGGCTGTAGATCCAGGACTGAGGCTGTAGATCCAGGACTGAGGCTGTAGATCCAGGACTGAGGCTGTAGATCCAGGACTGAGGCTGTAGATCCAGGACTGAGGCTGTGGATCCAGGACTGAGGCTGTAGATCCAGGACTGAGGCTGTAGATCCAGGACTGAGGCTGTGGATCCAGGACTGAGGCTGTAGATCCAGGACTGAGGCTGTGGATCCAGGACTCAGGCTGAAGATCGAGCCCTATGTCCTCGATGCACAATCAGACCCTAGTTATTTAGTTTACAGAAGTATACAGCGAGTTAGCGTCACTACTTACAGATCGAGGGGGTCCGAGTTACGTCTTTTACCGTGGGAATAACGTGTTTCCAGATCAGCCTTTGAGTAAGTCCAGTTCCATTGTCCCTGTAGTTCTGGAACAGTCTCAGTGAAGTGTCGCAGATGAACCGGTATTATAATAGATCCATGAGATGAACAGATGAAAAAAGTCGAGCCGCTTTCTTCCTCTTAGGGCCAAATAGTGTGTCACATATTTACACCCATAACACACTTCATTCAAGTTGACGTGATCCTAACACTTTTAGTTGCTGACAAAAGCATAAAAACAGCAGCTCTATGTGGTGTCCGCGAGACCAGACCACAGACGCTGGACTCGGGAGCCGGAGCCTGTGCGCTCTGATTCGCTGTTTTGATCCGTCAATCACCTCCCGCCGGCTTTTCATTTATTTTTATTTTTATTATTTTTGACAAAAAACAGCATACTAATTGTGTATTGTTTACCCCGTTTTGACAAAAGTATTTAACAACTATTTTAAATACAAAGCAAACGGGGTCATGCGCGTCATCAGTGTGGTTTTTGTCACTGAAGTGGACCCGAGCGTTTCTGTGCCTCACGCTGGGGAAGGAGACAGATCGCTCTCTTACAAAAGATTGACAGAATCAATGAATAAACTACTGTGGGCTTGTGTATGAAGGGCAAATAGCATTGTAATCATGTTTAAAGCAGAGAAAAGTCAAAAACCGTGATATAGGCCCTTTTAGCTCCAGGACTGAGGCTGAGGAGATCCTACTCCTGCCTTTCAGCTTCTCTCCTCTGCAGGTGTATATTATAGTGCAGTGTCTCCCAAAGTGGGGTCCGCGGCCCCCTGGTGGGCCGCGAGGGTACTGCAGGGGGGCCGCGGGAGGTCATAAAAAAAAAAAAATAATAATATAATTATTTAATGTTAAATTTATAATGTTTTGTTTGTAATATTAAAATATTTGTGTTCATTATTTGACTTGAATAAGCCACTGTAATCATTTTTGTATTACAATGTTTGTAGCAGAGGCTATTTCCCCAAAATAAAATAACCAGAAGAGCCTATTCTTAATGTTGTCTTCTTGGTTATTATTTTGGGGGGCCACGCAGACCCATCAGATTTTTAAGGGGGCCTCGGTGTTACTGAGTTTGGGAATGGCTGTTATAGTGTATATGCATGGCTTTTGACAGCTGCAATAGCGTTTGAAATCTCTATTCTCTCTCTGGTCTCTCTCTGGTCTCTCTCTGGTCTCTCTCTGGTCTCTCTCTGGTCTCTCTCTGGTCTCTCTCTGGTCTCTCTCTAGTTTCTCTCTGGTCTCTTTCTGGTCTCTCTCTGGTCTCACTCTTTTCTCTCTGGTCTCTTTCTGGTTTCTCTCTGGTCTCTTTCTGGTCTCTCTCTGGTCTCTTTCCGGTCTCTCTCCGATCTCTCTCTGGTCTCTCTCTGGTTTCTGAGTGTGTCTGCTTTACAGCCTTAAAACCTTAAAACACATCACCCCTGCGCTAAACCAGGGACCACTGTATAAATTCAAACAAAATGAATTCATACATTTCTCCTTTAAGCACGATAAAACATCTATAATGACCGACAAATGTAGAAATCCTCACAAACAAGTAGCTTCCATGTCCCTCGAATCCCGCTCTGGTCCCGGAGCAGACCTGACCCTGATAGCTCGTCGCCCAGGGGCCAGTGGCATCGTCCCGTCGAGCCGGCCTCAAAACCGGAGATGCTAATTAATTACCATTGGCATCTTTAGCCGTGCGTGTCAGCTCGGATTTGGACTATCAATCTGGCTGCTTCTGCGCTGGTCGTGCGGAGGTGAGAGGAGGGGAAGGGCCTGGGGTCAGTATGCGTCTGACCCACTGCCTCCACCAGAAGAGAGAGAGAGAGAGATGCTAATGACCGGGTGAAGGAGCAGAGCTGACACACGAGCTCGCATGGTTACAAGCGGGAATTATTGGGAAAGGAAATCGGACCAAACGCAAGAGTTAGTAATAAGAAAAATGTTGTAATCAATGTCAAAGAGGTGTAAGAAAGCGTGGAGAGTTAATTTGCAAAAAGAGAAGTATCCCCTTTGAAAATCTGTCAAAATGGTGTGTATCTCTCTCTGGTCTCTCTCTCTCTGGTCTCACACTGGTCTTTATCTGGGGTCTCTCCCTTCTCGCTCTTGTCCCACACTCTCTCTAGGCCCTCTCTAGCATTTCTCTGGTCTTACTCTGGTCTCTCTGTTGTCTCTCTCTCAGTTCTGACTCTCTCGTCCCTCTCTTCTCTCTCTCTAGTTTTTCTCTTGTCTCTTTCTAGTCTCTCTCTGGTCCCTCTCCAGTCTCTCCTTCCAATCTTTCGTTCTGGTCTCTTTCTGGTTCATTTTCTGGTCTCTCACAAGTGTTTCTCCAGTTCCATCTCTGGTTTCTCTCTGGTCCCTCTCCCGTCCCTCTCTCATTCTGGTCTCTCTCTGGTTCTATTCTTGGTCGCTCTCCGGTTTCTCTCTCTGGTCTCTCCTTCTAATCTCTCCTTCTGGTCTCTCTCTGCTCTCTCTCAAGTCTTTCTCTAATCCTAACTCTGGTCTCTTCTCCCCATCGTTCGTCATGGTCTCTCTCAAGTCTTTCTGTGGTTCCATCTCTGGTCCCTCTCCCGTCTCTCTCTCTTTAGTCTCTCTCTGGTCCTTTTTCTGGTCTCTCTCAAGTCTTTCTATAATTTTAAGTCTGGTCCCTCTCCCTCTGTAAATAAATTCTCTCTCTGATTCTATTTCTGGTCTCTCTCTGGTTTCTCTCTTTGATCTTTAACCCAACATTATACATTGTGGTCCAATAATAATGTATAAATCTCAGTCCTTTCTAGTTTTAGACAATTCTTTAAATCTGTTTCCCCCCCCTCTACAGAAAGAGCCCATGCCTCTTCCTCAGGTGAGTAGATCATGGGGGCCGAGGAGTCATTAACATCCCTTAATAAGCGGCGGGTCTAAGAGAGGCGGCGTGTGCGGCGTGGAGAGGCCGCCAACCCACCGCTCGCTTCCCACTCAGCCAAGTTGTGTTTGAGAGCGCCACACGTTCATCAGTCGCATTAATTGCCACTCGCCGCGAAGAGTTGGGGGAAAAAGGCCAATTTCCGCAGGTCCCTTCAGCCGGATGTGCAGGTTTGGGGGGGTGGGTTGGGATTGAAGCTCCAGGGACCGTGCTCGGGCTAATACGCAGGATCAGTGTGGTCTGTGATCAGAATGAGCTGGGTGTGTGTGAGGAGACGGAGGATAGAGGTCGGGAGTCAGGGTCTGGGTTAGTCAGTGACACCTCATAAAGTCCTGTTTCCACCAGCCCTACTGCACCATACTCTACTCCAGTCTCTATCTCTTGGTTTGTCTTTGGTCTCTCTCTGGTCTGCCGTTGGTCTCTCTCTGGTCTGCCGTTGGTCTCTCTCTGATCTGCCGTTGGTCTCTCTCTGGTCTGCCGTTGGTCTCTCTCTCTGGTCTGTTATTGGGCTCTCTCTCAGTCCCTCTCTCTAGTCTGTCTCTGGTCTCTCTCTCAGTCCCTCTCTCTTGTCTGTCTCTGGTCTTTCTCTCAGTCTCTCTCTCTGGTCTGTCTCTGGTCTCTCTCTCAGTCTCTCTCTCTAGTCTGTCTCTGGTCTCTCTCTCAGTCTCTCTCTCTAGTCTGTCTCTGGTCTCTCTCTCTAGTCTGTTGTTGGTCTCTCTCAGTCTCTCTCTCGGGTCTGTCTCTGGTCTCTCTCTTTTTTCTGCCCCCGGTCTCTCTCTTTAGTCTGTCTCTGGTCTCTCTCAGTCTCTCTCTCTAGTCTGTCTTTGGTCTCTCTCAGTCTCTGTCTCTGGTCTCTCTCTCAGGTCTGTCTCTGGTCTCTCTCTCAGTCTCTCTCTCTGGTCTGTCTCTGGTCTCTCTCTCTAGTCTCTCTATACTTTTTCAGACTGAAAAGTAAAACCTAGAGGACCACCCTCACTCAGCCAATCAACTCTCATCCAAAAACTTCAAAAACTGACATTTTTTCCTACAAGTTTGCCAACAATCTCTTCTCAAAATGCACCTTTTACACGACTCTCTATGAAACCAAAGAGACTAAGTACCCCAGCTTTACCTCAGACCTGACATTATCCAACACACAGAACACCTCATCCCGAGTTAACCTTGTGACCCATTCCCAGAGATGGATGAGCAGCGTCTTCTGCCCGAGCTCCTACCTGAACCGCAAATAGTTTTGTAAAATAATTCTCGTTTCCAATTCGTCAGCATTTACCGCTTCGCTCCCCTCGGGTTTTGAATCTCTGCTAACGTCACCGCATTCTCTCCGTCTAATAAGTCCACGTCAATGTGATTAATGGACATTGCTTAATACATTTCCTGTAATTAAAAGTCCACCTGCAGCTGCTTTTGTTTATGCAGCGGCGAGATCGTATTTAGCGGGCAAAAAGGTATTTACTTCAGCCGCCAATTCTACAAAAAGAATGAGGGATGTCTGCGCAATGAGAAACAAATGAGGGAGAAAAATCCGGAAAATCACATACAGACGGTGAAGTATGGGGGTGGAAACATCATGCTATAGGGCGTTTTTTCTGCAAAACACCAGGAGGATGGATCCGGGTGGAGGAAAGAGTGAATGGGGCCATGTATGTATGTATGGTGAGGTTTGGAGTGAAAACCTCCTCTCATCAGCCAGTCTCCAGATCTTAACCCCATAGAAAATCTCATCTCATAGCGAAAGCCTGAAAAACCGGAGCACCTGAAGGAAACCTACACAGACACTCGGAGAACATTTGCATTTCTCTCTCCATTCAGAAAGAGCTTGTTCCGAATGGGATTTGAACCAGAAGCGAGTAATAATTGTTACCTATTTTCTACTTGTCTTGAAGGATTTCACGAAATTGTTGATTTGCCAAAAGCAGATTAGAAAATCCAGAGATGAAGAGAAACAGGTAACAGCTAAATGTAAAAATATGGAGCTTCCTTTTTGTCAGGAAACACTATGGACAGCTCCAGACAATAGACTTTATACAGATGGACAACGCTAACCTTCTAGCTCAATGAAGCCCAATAGGGAAGTGCTCATGGACAAAGTTTTGCTCTAACTTTCTCTCCCTCGGGTCTCTCAATCAAATGATATAGAAAAGTTCAAAGTCAGTCACCCTACCCCTAACCTTTTGCTGTGTAGTACAAATGCTAACCACTGCGCTGCCCGGTTGTCAGTTAATATCGGTGCGTTTGGCTAATGTCGGTCCGTTTGGCTAATGCCGCGGTCCGCCTCGTGGCACGCGAGGTTAAGGCCTGTGGCGGCGTGCGGCGTGGAGCAGATGGAGGCGCGGTGCACTCGGCTGCTCCCGGGTTCACGCTCGGTGCGGCTGATGCGCACATTTAACACCGTCTGTGGTTATTCCAGGCAAAAGGACAAACTGTTTAGCGCCCAAAGACCCCTGTGCGTGTGTGTGTGTGTGTGTGTGTGCGTGCGTGTGTGCGTGTGTGTGTGCGTGTGCGTGTGTGTGTGTGTGTGTGTGTGTGTCAATTATGATCCATAATGATTTGAAAAAAGGGCAATATTTATAATAATAATAATAATACTAGTTACTCACATGTATTTTTGTTTCTCTCTTTCTGGTCTCTCTCTGGTCTGTCTCTGATCTTTCTCTGGTCTGTCTCTGGTCTCTCTCTGGTCCCTCTCTAGTCTCTCTCTCATTTCTCTCTAGTCTCTCTCTCACTGGTCTCTGTCTAATCTCTTTCTGGTCTCTCTCTGGTCCCTCTCTAGTCTCTCTCTGGTCTCTCTCTGGTCTCTCTCTGGTCTCTCTCTGGTCCTTCTCTGGTCTCTCTGGTCTGTCTCTGGTCTCGCTCTGGTCTTTCTGGTCTGTCTCTGGTCTCTCTAGTCCCTGTCTAGTCTCTCTCTCATCTCTCTCTTCTCTCTCTCTGTCGTCTCTCACTAGTCTCTGTCTGATCCTTGTCCTGGTCTCTCTCTGGTCTCTCTGTAGTCTATCTGGTATCTATATACCATCTATATCTGGCATTAGACCAGATCAAAAGAGAGGTCCTCCCTCCCTCCTTCCTTCGGCCAAAACCGTCAAATCCTACAGACAACTTGCTGCTCCACCGATTTACATCCCCCAGCTTTAATCCAACACAAGCCTGAGACCATTTCCATTTCTCTGGCTTTTCTGATAATACATGTTTTCCTTTATGAGGTGTTTTGGCTTTCAGATTCATTAGTGCCGAGGCGACCTTTTCAAGAACCCGGACATGTGGAACGCCGAGGCCCCAGGAGCCTGCCAGTCTGTCAGTGAGAGGGGGGGGGACCACACCTTTGGACTCCGAGGGAAGAGCCAGATATGAATCCTAAGTTAGAATGTTGCTGAAAAAACTTTTTTCATCAAATTCTTTAAACTCTTTAAGTGTCTCTCTCTCTCTCTCCGATCTCTCTCGTCTTACTCTCTGGTTTCCCTCTTCTGTCTCTCTCTGGTCTCCATTGTCTCTGTGTTCTATCTATGGTCTCTCTATTGTCTCAATCTCAAGTCTCACTTTCTGGTCTTCCTCTGCTCTCTCTCTCTCTCTCTCTGGTCCTTCTCCCTGGTCTCCCCAGTCTCTCTGCTCTTTCTGGTCTCTGTCTTCTCTCTCTGCTCTCTCTCTCTCTGGTCTGCCTCACTCCTCCCTTTGCACATGGCTCTCTCTCTCAGGTCTCTCTCCCTCAGGTCTCTCCGCTCTCTCCCTCAGGTCTCTCCGCTCTCTCTCTCAGGTCTCTCTCCGCTCTCTCTCTCACACAAACTTATTCTTTGTTGAATGTGTTTTTCCAAAGCACCTGCACAAACAGCCGCTTCATCTTTGACAACACCGTTTTTCACCGCTCCCTCGAGGGGCGCCAGGTCCAAATTACCGCCACTCATCAACGGGCTCATCAAAACTTAAGTGAAGGTGGTGGATTTGAAATTGCGTTCGCGGTACTCTCCTCTGATGCATTACCGGCACGCGCTGGTCGACAAGACGGCGCGTGGCGGGAAATCAGCCGACAAATGACGGTTTGGAGCGGTAAGAAAGAGGAATGACAAACGCCAGCGCGAGTGTGCATTTCAGCGGCCAATCACTTCAGCCGGCCTCTTCAGGAGCTCGGGGCCTGAGTGGTTGGTAATTGGAGCCTTTTTCTGTTAAAATATGTGTACGGGGGAACGGGAAGGTGCGCCACACAAGCAGAGATTGGATAAATAAGACGAGACAGAGGCACTCCAGGCCAAAAACAAGCGGTGATGATGCGAGGTGTGCGGGTCTTTAAGCATTACAACGACGTATTGTGGATTCTGGGAGAGAGAATTTTTCTGGTCTCTCTCTCTCTGGTTCCTCTCAGAGAGGCAAGAGAGAGAGAGACCACAGAGAGACCGTTGAGGGACCAGAGAGAGAGAGAACAGAGAGAGAGACAAGAGAGAGGCCAAGGAAGGACCAGAGAGAGAGAGAGAGAGAGAGATTCTAGAGAGAGAAACCAGAGAGGGACAAGAGAGAGAGACCAGAGAGAGAGACAAGTCAGAGGCCAAGGAAGAACCAGAGAGAGAGACCAGAGTGAGACCAGAGAGGGACAAGAGAGAGACCGTTGAGGGACCAGAGAGAGAGAGAGAACAGAGAGTGAGACAAGAGAGAGGCCAAGGAAGGACCAGAGAGAGGAACAAGAGAGACTTTAATTAAAGGTGACTGTCATGTTGTTATTGTTATTTAAAGTTCTATAAGATGCTGTCGGAGGAAACACATAAACAGACAACATAAAAGACAGGAAGTCAAACACGTTTATATCAAAATTAAACTAGGTCAAATCATTAAACAAAAAATCCACACCAACGCTTCAACGAAATACCATGAAACTGTGTGTTGGAATTTCAAAAGTGATTGGTGGATCTTGGTCAGTGCTGCAGATTACATAATAGAGAGAGAGAGAGGTCGCTGGTCTCTCTCTGGTCTCTCTCTGGTCTCTCTCTGGTCTCTCTCTCTTTGGTCTTCCTCTGCCCAGTCTCTTCCTTGTCTCTCTGCTCTTGTTTTGTTCCTTTTCTCTAGTCTCCCCAGTCTCTCTGGTCTCTTTCTGGTCTCTCTTGCTAGTTTCTTCGTAGTCTCTCTGATCCCTCTGGTTTCTTTCTGGTCTTTCTCACTAGTTTATTCCTAGTCTCTCTGCTCTCTCTTTGGTCATTTTCTCTGTTCTCCCTAGTCTCCTCCTAGTCTCTCTGCTCCCTCTGGTCTCCCTTGTCTCTCTGCTCCCTCTGGTTGTCTCTCTGCTCCCTCTGGTTGTCTTTCTGCTCCCTCTGGTTGATTTGATTATTGATATGCATTTGCCAAGTATCGATATCAAAGTTTTTTGTTGTTTTTTTTTTTTTTTTACATTAAAAAAATAAAAAAATTGGTATCAATATTTCATATATGGCTTTTACGCATTACGCATCTCCATCCCATTTATCATGAAATAAAGTGTATTTTTTCTTTTATTTATGCCATAAATATTGGCATATTGTATATTTCTGACCAATATATCGATCATATCGTGATAAAATCGTGATCGTGATATTGTTATCGTGATAATATCGTTATCGTGAGCATTGTATTGTGTATCGTACTGTGAGGTACCCATAGGTTCTCACCCCTAGTCTCTCCTATAGCCTCTCCCTAGTCTCTCTGCTCCCTCTGGTCTCCCCAGTCTCTCTGCTCCCTCTGGTCTCCCTTGTCTCTCTCAGCACTAAGAAATAACAAAAACAGACATTCCTTACTTTTAATTAAAGTGGTAAAAATCGTAAACAATTTTTATAATTTTATCAGACCTCTTTTGGTTTTGACGGGAGCTGTCAATCACATCTGTCTCTGGGAGTCCTAGTTGCCCATAGTTTCCGAATTCTGCGAGTGTCAAAAAGCTTCCACTTCCACTGAACATTTCCAGACAAATCAAATCCCAAACTCCACAACAGAATAGGATTAGGAGCGGCCAGACCTCGCTAACGGATGCTCGCCCGTGTCCTGCTCTGACCGGCAGGGTGCGGCGGCCTCATTACGGCCGGGTTCCTGGGCGGCGGCTCCTCGGACACGGCTCTCGGTGGATGCGATGGCGGATGATTGGACGTGATGAGGATGTGATGATGAGGATGTGATGAAGATGTGGAGTTACCGCTGTGGCCTGATGGGAACGGTCTCTGCTAACGAGCCGGGTCCAGGTATCGGAGAGAGAGAGACGCTAATGAAGGAGCTATGGTCTCTCTTTGATGGTGTGAGGAAAAGGGGGAGGTCTCTTTTGTAAATCTGTCCTCCGTGATTAAGTTTAATTAAAACTAGTTTCTGGGTCTGTAAGTGAGACTACAGAGGGACCAGAAAGAGAGACTAGAGAGAAAGACCAGAGAGAGACAAGACAAAAAAGACCAGCGAGAGACCAGAAGGAGACCAGATGGATAAACTATAAAGTGTGACCAGAAAGGCCCAGAGAGAGAGAGACCAAGGAGAGAGACCGGAGAGGGACCTGAGAGAGACCAAAGAGAGTCCAACTCCCTCCGGTATTTCCCTATAGTCTTTCTCTCTAATCTATCTCTTTGGTCTCTCTTTTTGGTCTCTCTCTAATTTCTCTTTGGTCTCTCTCTTTGGTCTCTCTCTAATTTATCTCTGGTCTCTCCTTCTGGTCTCTCTCTTTGGTCTCTGTCTTTGGTCTCTTTCTGGTCTCTCTCTCTAGTCCCTTTCTAGTCTCTCTCTCTGAGCTCTCTCTCTAGTCTCTCTCTGAGCTCTCTCTCTTTGAGCTCTCTCTCTGAGCTCTCTCTCTCTCTCTCTCTCTTTGAGCTCTCTCTCTGGTCTCTCTCTCTAGTCTCTCTCTGGTCTCTCTCTGTGAGCTCTCTCTCTCTCTAGTCTCTCTCTGGTCTCTCTCTGGTCTCTCTCTGGTCTCTCTCTGGTCTCTCTCTCTAGTCTCTCTCTGGTCTCTCTCTCTGAGCTCTCTCTCTGGTCTCTCTCTCTAGTCTCTCTCTGGTCTCTCTCTCTCTAGTCTCTCTCTGGTCTCTCTCTCTGTAGTCCCTCTCTGGTCTTCCCGTAGCCCTCTCTCCTTCAGGTCGGTGTCTTTTACAGTCCACGCTCGGCTTTTGACAGCTGCAGCGGCTCCCAGACCTTCAACACGTTTGGCATCCCAGTTATCGCTCTCTCCAAATCGCGCCAAATGCACCTGAATATTTATTTACCAAAATGTGATATTTCAGCCGGCCTCTCTGCGCACCCTCAGCCCCAGACCGGAGCCCAATTAAGACAAGAAGAAAAAGGGACTGTTTATCATTTATTTACCCATCAGAAAACAATTGGACGTTATGATTGCAATTTGCTTGATTAATGAGTTGATTAAGACTGTTAAATGTTTACAAAGGGGTTGAAACACGCTCTGCAAATATTGTCTGAAAACAGGCCGTCGTGTCCCATCACAGCCTTGGTAAACTTTAATTAAGCCCCCCACCTCCCCCTTACACCCCCCGCATCCCCCAAACTCTGCACCAAACCTCCTGGGATCCATTATTCCACCGAAATCTGCATTTTTAATTGTTTCGTTTCAGATAAGATGTTTTCACTGCGGCTAATTTTGTATTTCTTTAAAACAAAAAATGTCAATAAAATCAAAATGCGACACTGGTTGTAAATATACCGTCGGAAGGTGCGCGCGTGGCTGAGGTTAGCGCTTTGCTAGGAGACGAAGGCAATTTGCGCAATTATAAAAAATGCAGATATTAACGAGCTTTTGTGATTGTAAAGGCGGCGGCGGCGGAGGAATCAAACCGAGAGGAGGACGACTCTTTATTATCATAATAAACAAGCTCTCATCAAAGCCGTAATTACTGCCGGTGCGCGTTAGCCGTCTCCCGGCGCGCGGCGGTCAAGGCTCAAGCGCTTGTGATGAAGATAAACGGCCTCACCTGGTCTCACGCTGGTCCTCCTGCTTATTTTTGTTGTTCAATTTTTTGCCTTAGGAAAGAACTAGGTTTGGTTAATTTTCAAAGCTGTTGTTTTGGTGGTTAAAACAAAAGTATTGCCTCCATGTTTAAACGTGTCTCGTCGTTTTATGTTTTCTGCAACAATTTAGATTTAAATCCAATCCGCTGCGATCGTAGAGTGCATTTTAATTAACATTTTCCAAAGTACTACACAGACACATCATAAAATTTCACGCACAGGTCTGTACACTGGTCCCTCATGATTTATGGCGGGGTCTGTAAATGTTTCTATCCACATCAGAATCTGTCTAAATGAATATCATTTGTTGAATGATGAAGTGTGAGCTTCCTGTTCTGGAGGTTCTTTATAAATCCATACTTTTAAACAGAGCTCTGAGAATTATCAATGACTCTTCTGGCCACCCTGGAAAAGCCATGTTCCAGCTTCTTCCCTCTGGCAGAAGATATTGTTCGCTGAGATGCAGGACATCTCGTTACGCTAACAGTTTTTTTCCACAGGCTGTTATCAGTGTGAACAGAGCACTTTCAAATGATCTTGCACTTGTTTTGACAATGTTTTGGTCAATCGATTTAACAGTGACAATTGTTTACTGTTTTATTTGTTTTATTTCTGTCTTTTAATGTTGTTTTATGTCTGAACTTGT